TTTTTTTATGGTTTCGGGATTAATGTTGTGCTTTATGTTATAGGATTTGAAGAGAGATCACTCAAGTCTTTCAGATCAAGTGAAGAACATGAATACTGATTGTTTTCCTGGCCCTGGTGTTTTAGACAATCTTCAGAATCTCAGTGAGTATCAGATACTGATTTTGGCAATGTTTCTCCCTTTTTTCTTTCTTTTGTTTTACTGATTTATTGCTATTTTGGTATAGGTAATGAATATGAGCTTTTAAAAAAGAAATACATAGATGAGTCCTCTGAACGAAAGCGGCTTTACAATGAAGTGATTGAGCTGAAAGGCAATATAGGGTCTTCTGCAGATGTAGACCTTTAAATCAAGCTGAAATTACTATGGGTCCAGTTCTGTTGTTGAATTTGACTCTTCTCAAGAAAATGAGCTACAAATTGTTTCTTCTGATTCTTCTAAAAAGCAATTCAAGTTTGATTTGTGTTTAAGCCCGAGGACAATCAAGGTAATCCTGATCTCATGAATGATTTTTTCAATGCAAAGCATTTGCTATAATGGATATTGAACAGTTTAAATATTTAATCCGGGTTTTATATATGCAGAGGCTGTTTTTGCACAAACAAACCTATTGTGACTTCAGTACTGGATGGCTTAATGTCGCATATTTGCATATGGACAAACTGGAACTGGGAAGACATTTACAATGGAGGGTACACCTGAAAATAGAGGAGTGAACTACAGGACTTAGAGGAGTTGTTTCATATTTCCAAAGACAGAACTGGTGTCATGAGTATGAGCTATTTGTTAGCATGTTGGAGGTTTACAATGAGAAGATAAGGGACCTTTTAGTTGAAAACTCTAACCAACCTTCTAAGAAGTAAGTTCCCTCTGATCATTTACTCAAACACCACATTTTATGTGATTTATGTTTTATGGAGGACTGCTGATTGTTATCACTTCCCTGCTGGAACAGCTGATTGCCAGACTTATGATCACTTGAATAGAAGCTACATTTCTTTTTAGACCTCTTTCTCTGTGATGAATCATCACATTTCTGCTCCTTCACAATTACAAAAAAAAAAAAAATGCTGTTTTTTTAGCTGGGCTATCTTTGAGATGATCTAAAGAACTGGACTAAACAAGAGCTTTTCTTTTTAAGAATTGGGGTGGAATCTTTTTAAGAATTGTGTTGAACAGATAATAATTTTGAAGTATATGTTAATGTTACATGGATGAAGGTTGGAGATAAAGCATGCAGCAGAAGGAACCAAGAAGTGCAGGACTCATTGAAGCTCGAGTCTACACTACAGAGGAAGTGTGGGAGCTCCTCAAGTGGAGCCAAAGCCAGATCTGTAGGATCCACTAACGCTAACGAGCTCAGTAGCCATCTCACTGGTAAGTTTTAATAGTCCTTTAGGGTGATTTAGACAAGTTGATCAAACAAAGAGGTGACCAAAGTTTCATAGATTATAATGACAAAAATTGTCTTGTAGCTTGTTGCGAGTGACTGTGAAGGGGGAGATCTAATAAATGGACATAAGACTAGAGTCACCTCTGGCTGGTAGACTTGGCGGTAGTGAGCGTGTGGGGAAGATTGAAGTTGAAGGTGAGAGATTGAAGGAATCTCAATTTATAAACAAATCCTCTCAGCACTTGGTGATGTTATATCTGCCCTGGCATCAAATCAGGCCACGTTCCATACAGGTTCCTCTCTCTTTCTCTCTCAGGTATCTGTTCACTGCCATAAATTGTTATATCTGAAATGTGTTTTTATTGAAACCAGGAATTCAAAGCTTACTCATATGCTACAGAGCTCCCTAGGGAGTGTTTGTTTGCATTTTTACATTCAGATTTGATCCTCCAATTTGGTTCCTGGCAAGTTTCTGAGGTTATTCCTCTGACAGAATTGTTGCTTGTACTTGGGTTGTGGAGAATTTGATACATTTTTAATACTCCTTACCATCCCCATTGGTCATTTATACATTTTTGTTGCATCATGGGTCTTCTTCTCAAGGAATATTTCTAACTAGAATATGTAATGCAGGAGGGATTGAAAACTCTGATGTTTGTCCAGATCAGCCCAAATTCTGGAGACCTCGGGGAGACCCTTTGTTCTCTGAACTTTGCCAGCCGAGTTCGGGGAATTGAATGGCCTGCTCGCAAGCAGGCTGATGTGTCGAACTCTTCAAGTACAAGCAAATGGTATGTATTTTTCTCAAGTTTTGCACAATTATATTGCTCCCAGACCAGAAACTCAGGTTTTTTTATAATAATAGGCAGAAAAGTTGAAGCAGGATGAGAAGGAAACAAGAGAGTTAGGATAATTTGCAGTCTTGCAATTAAGGCTCGCTGCCAGAGAACATATCTGCAGAAGTCTTCAAGAAAAGGTAATATAGGACCAGGCCTTTTAAAAGCTTACTATATATCCTTGTTAATTTGTTATTTGTGCATGCATCAGTAATTTTTCTTGACAATGTTATAGCTTTCTCTGTAAGATATGTGCTGGTCAGTTCTTTGCATATAGGCATTTTGGTATTTTAGTGGCTATCTTGTGTATCTTCATTGTTTATTCCCTAACCAGAACTGTTACCGAACTTACTACAGGTCGGGACCTTGAGAATCAATTAGAAAATGAAAGGAAAACCAGAATAAAGCAGAGAACCAGAGCTTTTGCGGCGCTGCATACTCTCAGTCTTCAGGACTGTCAACTATAAAAGAAGCTGCAGGGAAGACAAGACAGAGAGAAAGCCTCCTTTGGGTCCTTCAAAATTAGGATGCCACTACGAAGAATCACCAATTCGCCCCCGCCATCTCCTGTCCCACCTCGGAAAACCACCACCATTAGACACAGAATGGCAACTTCAGTAGAAAAGAAAACAATCACAGCACCACCATAGAAACAGAATGGCAACTTCAGTTGATAAAGAAAACATTCACAGCAACAGATGGCGCAACAAACATCAAAAGCCTTCTGAAACCAAGACGTATTCCATCGCTGTCAGACCTCTCCTTCTGCAACATCAACAACAACACAAGTTATTCAGCCAAAAGAAGTATCATCGCAACCCTCCGGCCAGAGCCAGTCATACATGACAACACCACTCCGCCCTCTGTCTCCCGCTTTCAAAATGGAAGCACAATGGGCGGCAGGCAGTCACTCGTGAGGGACCCTCGAAAGGCGAGGTACTCGAAGCTGTTCTCCATTACAGAATACCGGACAACATCAGAGATTACCACACCAACTGCCATGAGGAGCAGCAGCAAGTTCATGGGGAGTCCTCCTACAAGGTCGCCGGTTCATGGAGGCCAAAGCATCCAACAGTTGTAGCACTGCAAAGGAAATCACTGGTTTGGAGTCCTTTAAAGCTGAGAGGCATGAAAAATAGCAGGAGGTCATTATTGCCTTCTCACATCCCACAACTGAGATGCTGCAATGACAAGGAAAACATGCCATGTTTTCACCTTCTCTGTATTGTCAATACCCTCCCTCCTCTATTATAGAAAAAAAAAAAAAAAAATTCCCCCATTCTTCTTTCTGTGTTGAATGAAGTTCATCTCCATTTCTTTTGCATTTTCTCTCTGTATTCAACTGTCTCTTGAGATTATACAATGTAGGAAATTATTCTAAAATTTTACAATGGAAAAAACAGATTCTTGTGGTTCTATGTGCATGCACTGGCAATTACGTGAAAACGTTCTTATAAATTGTTAACGTACATTAGTTACAAAGAAAACTTTCTCATAATATCATAGGTGGCCTATGTAAAAGAGAAAGAGATTTTATGACTTCTGAGTTGAGTCTTTATAGGCTTATAGGGTGATCATAAATTTCAAGGCTTCGAAGGATTATTGAAATGTAAGTGACGACAACCCCGTAAATTTACTAGATCTTCCCATTGTATTGTCAACCGATGATGGAGACAACTTCTAATATAAAATAAAATATTATATATGTTAAAATAATCTATAGGTTCAATTAAAATAAAAAAAAGTTAAATTCCACTACAATTTGAAAAATTAAATATAAAAAGAAAAAAAAATTGAAAGTACCGCTTGATGTTTAATGTCATTACTATTTATATAACGTTTTATTTTTCACATTTGATATTTGAATTTACATCTTAAATTCCATACTTTAATTATCATACACAAAACTTCGGAATTAACGGCACAGATCGATTCATACCAATTTTGATTGAGACACGTGTACTCCTCCACAAAAATAAATATAAAATACACGAAATTTAAAAAAAAAAAAAAAAAAAAAGTAGCCGTTTGTATACGTTTTCATAGGATGATTAGACCGTTGGACGAAAAGATCGTTACCAAGTTCCACGTTCAATATCTGCTCTGACTTTTCAGTTTTCACTTCAAGAGTTAAAACTCAAGACTCTTGGGAGATGAATGAAAGACGAGAGTGAAAACCCCATCGAGTTACTGGTTGAGGACCCTTAAGAGGGGAAGTGGGAAGGAGCGGAGGAGGCTAGAGGAGACCCACAGCGGCTTTTTTGGTTTGAGCTTTTTGAGCGAATAAAATGGTCGCAAGAACCCCACCAAAGCAGAGGAGAGAGATGGCTCCTCTCAATCCAAATCTAATCAGAGAAACTGTAAAGAGGTAATAAAACTGTTAATATTCGGCAATGTGCTTGCTGGGGTCTTCAGTTATTATTTTAGATGTGACAAGATGTGATTTCTTTTTTAGTGATTTAGCCCAGTAAGGAACTGGTTTAGAAATTTGTTTGTTTTTTCATTTGCTTCTTTTTCTGGCAACCAAGTTGAGAATTTTGCCAGACTTGTGGGTTTTTTTTCTATTCTGGTGACAAATTTTGAGTCTTTTTGTTTCGTTTATTTTCTCGGCAACCCAACCGAGAATTTTGTCTTAAGCGTGTTTTATTATTTTTTTTTTTTTTTTTTTTTTTTTTTTTTTTTTTGTTCAAACTCTATGGAATTTTTTTCATTTCCATAGAACTCAGCAACAAAAGCTAAAATTTTTTTTGGTGGGTTCGTCTTTTGTGAAGGTGGATAAATGTATGGCAAGATTGCAAGAGTTACAATACACAGTGGCAGGAGGGAATAAGATGATATCTGGGGTTAGTCTCAGTCCTAGAAGTACCAGAGGTTACTTGAAGGCTAGTCTCAGGTGCAAGCAAGAATCTTTAAGGTAAGTTCTCAGTTATGGGTTTGATTTTTTGTTTGTATATCAGTTAAAAATGGTAGTTATTTTTGTTGATTTTGATCCATATTTTATGCATATTCAAATGGGTTGTTCTTGTTTTTCTTGTTTAATTGAAGGATCAAGAATGCTGCAGCCCCTAGAAGGTCTCCAGGGGGAAAGTTGCCAGAAAGTGCAGGAGGTTAGTTTTGTAATGAGACCATTTTAATTTTCATTGTAATATATTTTCTCATCAACCAAACACTACCTTGATCTGATGTTGAATGACTTGAGTGTTTAATTTGTGCAGGAGAATGGCGAAGAATGTCGTTACCAGCAATGCTATTAGGCGAAACAATGGGAGAAATTCTGCAAGCAAGCCTATTTGCAAAAGAAATAGTAGCAGCAGTTGCCAATAAGACCAAGAAAATCACCATTGAAGATCCCAAAACACCAGTGACTCAAAAGAGAAATCAAAGACCAAATCCTGAAAACAGTGAACTCAAGGTTAGAAGAAAGAAGGAAAAACAAAATAAGCTACAATCAATCAGATCAGAATCCCGTTCGCCAACACTTCAAAGGGCTCGATCGCGTATCAATTTCAAGGTTTCACCACCTAAAGTAAGAGAATTTGACAAGGAGAACAACAGATATTTGGCAAATAGAGTGTCACCAAGGAATAGGCTATTTGCTAAAAAGACTGTTCTATTCCCAAATCCTTTGTTTCTTTCCACACCTTCACAGCAGCAAAAATTTTGCAAGACAAGGTCTCCAGTTGTCGCTAGAAACAAGCAATCTCCACACAAGTTCTTGATTAAGTCCCCACCATCAACTTCCAAGTTTCAAGTGAAGATCAAAAGCCCAGCAGTGGTTTCTCTTTCTCCTACAAGGCCAGCAAACTTGAGCAAGAAGAAGTCTCCGCAGCCGAAGCTGTCAACTGCTTCGAAATTTCGTCGTTCATTTTCACCTTCAAGATTGGCAAACAGATTGGTGTCTCCATTGAAGAGCAGAAAAAGTGTACAGAAGTGTGATGGGCAAACGAGTGGATTGAAACAGCGTCCTCCAACTTCAATACCCATGCGATTCTCGACAGGGAGATTTTGATGGGTGTGTGTTAGTTTTCTTTGGCTTTGCTTGAATATTTGTGTTCTTCTGAAATGTCCATAGTTTGATTCTTTTATTGTGAGCCCTTCTGTCTTACATACATTGTTTGTTTGATGTATAACTTTGTGAGCTATTCATTAATAACTCATAATCAAATTTCTGGTGTTATCATAAAGCGTTATTTCTGAACAACTCTGAGCAAGGAAACAGGAAATGCAAATGTGAACCCAACTTTTCTGCCATAGGATTCCATAACTTTCTAAGATCATCTAAAAAAGAAAGGGGAAAGTAGAATCTTTCTCATAAACTAAATATACAAAAGAGTCCCTGTGACGAGTACTGTACATAACAGATTTCATTCTACAAACTGTTCAAAATTGGCAATTCACCATAATAGGATATGTGACTTCAAAAATATTCTCAAAAGTTAAAGTTGTTTTAAATAACTAAGAAAGCACACATGGTTATAAATAAAAGAAATCAAATATGATAGGTCGACTTTCAGAACCCAATCCTTTTGACCAAACTATTAGCCTGTTTGACGAAAACAGTAATGCTAAGTCACTTGCAATTAGTCAGCTCGCAAATGGGTCCTGTCTATTTGCTATAAGTCTTACCTTTTCATTTGCGAGCTATCACCTCAAGGAAAGGTTGTGAAATTAGATTGTGGACCTAGTATTACTCTTGAGAAAAAATTTCAGCGATTGGGGTCTATTTGTTTTATTATTTTAAATAGGATTTTGGAAATACTATTGGATAGTTGAATAGATGAGTATTACGAGGTAAAATTTAAAAATTTATAAAAAAAACCCCTTAGGTTTGCTAATTTAACTAAACACCCCAATATATAAAAATTTTGTAAAATAACAAAAACACCCCCACCACCCGCAGTGTCAGATTCCAGCCACCACCACCAGAATCTGGTTGAAAAATTGCGTTACGACATAGACCGGTCGGATCTAGCGGGTAGGGCATCGATATGGCATTTTCCAGCCAGATCCACCACGGATCTGGCTGGAAAAGGCCAGATCTACGGCCAGATCTAGCTGTCGATGGCCGCAAAAGTTATGGTCGTCGTTGACAGTCAACGACGGCCATTTAGCAATGTCAATGACGGCCATTTAGCAACGTCAATGACGGCCATTTAGCAACGGCCAGATCGGTGAATTACCGGCCAGTTCTGGTCGTGATGTAGGCCGTTGTGACAGATTTCGGCTACCATCGACGGTGGTTGCCGGAATTTGGCAAGTATGGGTTTAGGGAGTGTTTTTGTTAATTTTTAAACTTTTTTCCTGGAGGTATTTATGAAATTAATAAACTTAAGGGGTCTAAAAATAGTTAAAAAAATATACTAATATTTCTCAAATAATGTGCCAAACAATATTTGGGGAATAGGATTAAGAATATGGGTAGAAATAATGTGCCAAATACCAAAATATTCTTTCTACTTCTAAACATTACATTTCATTTAACTGACAAAAACATCGTATTTGGAGACAACATGTTAGCTTACAAAAACATCCTATTTGGAGCCAAAATGTTAACTTCCTAAAATTAAGGGAAAGTTTCGTAACTCGTGCAATCGTACCATACCTCAGGGGTGGCAATGTAATAAACCCCAATTTAAATTGAGAAACAGATGATTTTGTCACACTAAAAAAAAACTTTACCGGAGCCCTTGAATTTCTTTTGGGAAATACGGACCTTAGGACTGTAAACGAGCCAAGCTGAGCCGAGCTTTTGGCTTATCGAGCTCGGCTCGTTTACAACAGTGTCGAGCTCGAGCCTGGCGAGCCTCAGAATTGAGACTGAACTCGAGCTCGGTCGAAGTTCGAGTCGAGCTCGAGTCGGCTCGAGAGCCGTAATCCCTAAATTTTAAAAAATGACAAAACACCCCCCCAATTTTTTAATCCCTAAAACCAGTAAACCACAACACTTTCGAAGCAACTGTCAGCACCAACACACCTCTCAGTCGCCGTCAACTCTTCGCCGTGAACCACGTCTTCTTCATCGGATTTGCGTCGTAGAGCTGTCGCCATCAACTCTTCACCGTGAACCACGTCTTCTTCATCGGATTTGCGTCGCAGATCTGTCGTCGTCAACTCTTTGCCGTAAACCACGTCTTTTTCATCGGATTTGCGTCGCAGACCCATTGAAGTCTTTCTTGCTTGCTTTGTTTGCGATTTGGGATATAGGGCAAGTGGGATTGGGAACTAAGATTGATTTGGTTTTTGAGTGTATCGTGTTAAAAGAATTCGCACTTTGGGGGGAAACTGTCATTTTTTTAAACTTTTTTTTACTAGAAAATATCAGTTTAATACCTAATCGTTTAAAAAATCACCAAAGCACCCTGTGTAAGTGTACAGTGCTTACTCGAGTCAGACCAGGCTCGCGAGCTCACGAGCCGAGCTTCACTGTGTTCAAACTCGACTCAGTTAACAAACCGAGTTCAAGTCGAGTCGAGTCGAGCCTTATCGAGTCGAGCTCTAAACGAGCTTACCGAGTCGAGCCGAGCCGGCTCGGCTCGTTTACAGCCCTAAATACGGTCAACCTGCTCAGCTATTCCGGATGTTAAATGATTCTTTCTGGTTAATCTCCAGACTAACATGGTTGTTTTCTGATGTTAAACTTGTGCCGTATAGAGCAGGGCATGCATGTGGGTAAAAAGAAAAGTGGCATAAGATTTCATTGGCTTTCATGAGCCATATCAATTCATTATTCTACACTAATAATACAATTTTTGTTCTGTGACTGTGCACTAGATACAAACTTAAGAAATTATCTACCCCATCTCCTAAAAACACCCAAAAATGAAAACCCAACGAAAAAAAAAAAATCTTCAAACATTACTTTCTTCTTCTCTCCCCCTTTATGGAGATTTATATTGCAACGATAACATACAACTTTAGGCTGAACAATGAGGAATTGAATAAAATGCCTCAGATTTTCCGTTTTCAAGCGAAGCTGGCAAACCAATCACTGTAGTATTATTTCACCACTCTGAGCAAAACTGCATATCTTAAGATGAACTCATGACAGGAATATTCAAATTCCCCTGTGAGGGTCGGCATTGAAACATTCTGATATGCCCTCATTTTCCAGGAGATGCAAACCTTGTCCGATCTCTCTGCCGATTCAGAACTCGATCCTTTGGGGAAGATGTTTTTCCTCCCATGCCCGCTTGCCGCATCTTCTCTGCAAAGGAAGTTTTCACAGCCTTGCATCAAGGACTGATAAAAAACCTTAATGCTAGAGCTTAAATATTCATTTTGTCTAAAATTTCATGGCCATGCAAGGACAAAAATTTGACGTAAAGATTCATTAACATATATGTGGACAATTCTGCTTCAGTCTTTGAAGTTTTTAGCGCTTTAATCAAANGGAACTAAGATTGATTTGGTTTTTGAGTGTATCGTGTTAAAAGAATTCGCACTTTGGGGGGAAACTGTCATTTTTTTAAACTTTTTTTTACTAGAAAATATCAGTTTAATACCTAATCGTTTAAAAAATCACCAAAGCACCCTGTGTAAGTGTACAGTGCTTACTCGAGTCAGACCAGGCTCGCGAGCTCACGAGCCGAGCTTCACTGTGTTCAAACTCGACTCAGTTAACAAACCGAGTTCAAGTCGAGTCGAGTCGAGCCTTATCGAGTCGAGCTCTAAACGAGCTTACCGAGTCGAGCCGAGCCGGCTCGGCTCGTTTACAGCCCTAAATACGGTCAACCTGCTCAGCTATTCCGGATGTTAAATGATTCTTTCTGGTTAATCTCCAGATTAACATGGTTGTCTTCTGATGTTGAACTTGTGCCGTATCGAGCAGGGCATGCATGTGGGTAAAAAGAAAAGTGGCATAAGATTTCATTGGCTTTCATGAGCCATATCAATTCATTATTCTACACTAATAATACAATTTTTGTTCTGTGACTGTGCACTAGATACAAACTTAAGAAAGTACCTACCCCATCTCCTAAAAACACCCAAAAATGAAAACCCAACGAAAAAAAAAAAATCTTCAAACATTACTTTCTTCTTCTCTCCCCCTTTATGGAGATTTATATTGCAACGATAACATACAACTTTAGGCTGAACAATGAGGAATTGAATAAAATGCCTCAGATTTTCCGTTTTCAAGCGAAGCTGGCAAACCAATCACTGTAGTATTATTTCACCACTCTGAGCAAAACTGCATATCTTAAGATGAACTCATGACAGGAATATTCAAATTCCCCTGTGAGGGTCGGCATTGAAACATTCTGATATGCCCTCATTTTCCAGGAGATGCAAACCTTGTCCGATCTCTCTGCCGATTCAGAACTCGATCCTTTGGGGAAGATGTTTTTCCTCCCATGCCCGCTTGCCGCATCTTCTCTGCAAAGGAAGTTTTCACAGCCTTGCATCAAGGACTGATAAAAAACCTTAATGCTAGAGGTTAAATATCCATTTCGTCTAAAATTTCATGGCTATGCAAGTACAAAAATTTGACATAAAGATTCATTAACATATATATGGACAATTCTGCTTCAGTCTTTGAAGTTTTTAGCGCTTTAATCAAACATTAATTGCTCTGTCATGTTTGTCCAGAGCTTTAGTAAAACATTAACATCATATTCAGCAATGCCTTGATACACAAATTCATTTATGTCATAACTACTTTATTCAAATATATGATACTTCATTTAGCTAAGCAAAAATTCATGTATGTGTTATAAACCAAGCAGAAAGCCATGACCTAAGGTCCTCCAGCTGAAACCTATGACAAAATTTAGCAAGGTTGTGCCTGGAATACAGATGGTTTTCCAGACATAAAGGGGAGCTTTCTAGAATGATACAGTGAATCAGATAATCACCACAGTGAGAAAAACAAGTGCTATGAGAAAATATAAAGATGCTTTTATTTTTTAATGGAAAAATAAAAACTGAGGATAAGCAATAATATCTACCTCGCGTCCTCTCAAGCTCTTGGTCAAGCTCTTCTTTCCACTTCCTTTGTATCTCAGAAAAGATCATACTGCAAATGGAAGAATATTCTATTTCAGATTACTCAATGACAGGCAAAGGAACAATACACACCAAAAAAAACACTCATCTAACGTACTAACCTTGGGCTGCATGACTCTGGCTGACCGTCAACCATAAGTCCTTTCCTATCATTACACTGAGGGGAAGAATTCTCTTGTGAAGCTTGATCGCTTGTATTTGCAACATTCGGTACACGCTTGCCATTACTCCCTGGGCTTCCAGTGTTAACAGCATCAACTGCTATAGATGGGCTCCCAAGAGGTACCCGACTTGGAGACCTGCTTTTAGGAGGTAATTTCAAGTAATTTGGAGAGGTTTCATCACTCATCCTCTCAACAAAACTTGGAGAGCAACATGCATTCAAACTGTTGTAGAACTCTTCGTATAAAGGAGTTTGCAGTTTCTTTAGTTCCAAAGCCTGAGGCATTAATTTTCCAGTGAAATCAGTGTACTAGGGAATCAATTTTAAAACAACGTTACCTCACAAAGGCTGATTTAAAAGCTAATCAAAATATTACCTTCGCACCCAGAAAGGCTTTGATTTTTGATTCTGTAAGTTCATCATCATCCTCAGAAAACGAAGGCCCACAAGGAAATGATAAGTCATTGACCCCCTCACCAAGAGCACTTAAGTGGCCAGCAGGCATATGAACTGATTGATCATTGTTTGGTTTCAGTCCTCTTTTTCCTGGTTCAGGACTTCCACCATATTTGCTCCTCCAATCATCAGAGGGCTCACTCATGGGATTAAAACTCTAATTTAAATAAAACAACATTAGTAATTATTAAAGCTCTTGGCTTATAAAATGATAGGCAAAGCTGTGAAAGAACATGAAGGCAGTTGCTCACCTTATTAAAGTCATCAGGTGACAAGACAGAACTAACCTTTTCATCACCAGGCATAAAATCATCTTTATCTAGTTGACACATATCATCATCACCATTGCTCGTCATCCTTACATGCTTAACTCCAGCAGGTTTCTCCACAATTACAGTTGAGCAGCTCAGACTGCCCAAATTACATAAGTCTAATGAGCCAGGGGATGTCATTGTTTGACTGCCAACAATATCAATGCTATATCAAAAACTTCCACAAGCAACACAAGGACAATTTATCATCATCCCAAAAGATACCAGAGCAGAATAAACTTACAAGTTTTCCAGATTTGTGGCATGTGATGGAGAAGCAATTTCAGAATTTTCCTAACAATACCAAAATTCATCTTGTTAAACAGATGGATTTGAAGGAAATAAATGAAACTAAATACTATCATAATCTAATTTGAATATACTAACCATGACTGAAGCATGTAAAAGAGGATGAGATTCTCCACATTCCCCAGTGACAAATGGATGCTGCATGAAATTGGAAAATAAGGACTATTAAACCATTATAACATCTAATCAATAGTGGTCCATCTCTTTTTCATTTTTCTCTCAATCAACAACCTACTGCAGCCTTACAATGTTCCTGGTAAAAGACAATAAAAAAGAATTACCTTGAGCAATTCAGATGCTGTTGGTCTCGTATTTGGTTCCCTGCGACACAAAGGAGAAATTTAACGCAACATTATAATTTTGACTAAGCTAATCTTGAACTATTATTAGAGGCATGAGAAGAAAAAGACAATATTAAGTAACATACTTTTGTAAACATTTCAGCAAAAAATCTTTTGCCTCAACAGAAAGGTGCTCTGGAATTGGTGGATGAGACTTTGTTGTCCCTATATAGAAGAGAGCAGCAACCTAAGGAAACATGTTGTCAGTCCAACATAAGAAAGAACAAAAAATAAAGCTAAAGGTTGAAAGCAGATGGAAAAAGTACCTCTTGGTACTGCTGGCTCCAAGGAGGCTTTCCAGTGGCCATTTCAATTACCGTACACCCAACACTCCATATATCAGCAGAACTGGGGAATCATACCCATTAAATATAAGAAAAGTTGGTACATTACATTATTAATGGAAATAAGTTTCAAACATGTAACTTAATCATCTGTATAAGTTTCCTGCAGAGGCAACAAGCAAGACTAAAGATCATGTTGAGTGCAAGCATGGCTATGCAAGAGCCATGCAAACGTTTAGAAAAGGAATTGGTCCTATGATGGTATGTCTAGACTTGGATATAACTGTTATTACTTTTCCCTTTGATTCATTTCATTTTTCTAGAAGAACATTCTTCCTGTTAATATTATTGTTTACATTCACTTTCTATCAGATCAGAAACATATGCGTTAAAAATAATTTATAAAAACAAGCCAAAAAGATTGTAAATGATCATGCCCAGAAAAATATTCTCCTTAGCTAGTTCAGCATATCTAGTGTGCATGTAATGATGCAGACAATAAGAGGAAACTCTCTGTCCTTACCAGGCATGTCCAGTCTGCAGAATGACTTCTGGAGCCATCCAATAAGGAGTCCCCTTCATAGACTTGGCCCCTGATACAGTTGCCTATTGTAACAAGCATTTCATAAGATGGAATATATTTTACAAAGTAATACAATACATAACACAAAGTGGAGCAAGTAGTACATTACCAGCTCCACCACCTGTTTGGATGCACCAAAATCTGCAAGTTTAATGCATCCCTTATTATCTACAAGGATATTTGCCCCCTGAAATTGTACAATGAAAATAAGAAATAAAATAAAATAAAAGGTGTCTGTCACTTTAAGGAAAAGATTGAGAGAGATATCATAGCTCTTTCTAATCATGCTATTGACTGGAAAAGAAAAGGCACCTTAATGTCCCTATGCATAATTCCATTCTTGTGTAAATACTCCAACCCCAGCAACAATTGCTTCGTGTATGTTCTTATAACCTGCTTACATATTGATACATAAGAATGGTGTTCAAAACACCAAGAATTTGCAAGGTCAGTTGGGAAAAGACTTACAGCCTCTGGAAAGGAGCCAAACTTCCCCAAAAGTGATGATATTGATCCACCCGGAACAAATTCCAACAAAATATTTAATGATTCCTCCTCCCTCGCCGTACCCAAATATCTCTGGCAGATAAAAACCGACAAAATGAGTTTGAAAAGGTGATAGCCTTTTGCAAATTCAATTGGAACACAGAAGATCATTCTCAATACTCACGACAATGTTCGGATGAGAAAGATCTTTGAGAAGCTTGACTTCTTCCTCAAGTTCCTTGATATGAGCCTACTCAAAGCAATAACAAATAAACCAGGCCAACTTAGGTATATATAAAAATTCAACAATCGAATGTCAAAATGAGTCACTAGCAACTGTCTTCAGCTGACGCACTCTCTGCAATGGTTGTTGGCTTATTTTGATAAGTGATCAACAAAAACATACTTATTCGTAATCGAAATTAGTAATCAAACCTGTGTTTTTTCCTTTGAAGCACTGTTCTCCGCTATTAAAACCTGTGAAAGACAATTAAACACAAACTCATTCACAAAATAATCAAAAACTCAGAAAATAAAATTCAAAACGGATCCTTAGAACATGTGATTAACTAAACCACCCAAAAAAATTTCATACTCAAAATATAATTGAGTACAAAATCACACTCACATTCCTTAATTAACTCAATTCCAGAAAACGATCAATTAAAAAATGGGCAAAAATCAAACTAGAAAAACCAAAATGCTAACAAAAAATGAACTTTTTAAAACTCAATTATAACAAGGCTCAAGAAACACAACAACCAGTAAAGAAAGGGTGAAAAGTAAGTCGAAAAAGATAAGAAGAACCTGTTTGACAGCCAAAAGCTCTCCAGAATCAAGATTCATGCCCATGTAGACTCTGCCGAAAGCACCACAACCAATCAACTCGCCTTTGCGCCATCGGATGGGAGGGGACATTTTCAAAGGAGGAGAAGAAGGAGATAGAGAGGAAATGGATTTGGAGAAGAAAGTGGATTTGCGAATGCAGGAATTGATCTTGTTCACTAGGGTTGGAGGAGTGTTAAGGTCGGGATTATTGGTTTCTGAGGTCGTACGAAACACCAGCGATCGACGAACTGATCCGAAGAGATCTTGCATTTGCATTTGAAGCGGGGAATGAAGGAAGGAAGGAAGAGAGAGTGATGGGTCTGGGACTTTGGGTTACTGTTAAGGTTTCATTTGGTCGGCAAAAGAGTGGGGAAAATTGGAGAGAGAGGAGGGAAAAGGTAACCGGTGATTCTTTTTTAAAAAATATAAATTAAATTAAAATATGAAAATGAACCTCTGGTGTCAAATGTAATGTTTAATGAATGATGGGGATCAAAGTGAAATTTATTTAGGAGATTGCATTTGAGGGGAACAAAAACAAAGTTTAACAAATGAGGGGGCCAAAAAAAGTTTAAAGGGTCAATTTGTTATTTTTATTTATGAATTCTTAAAATTTTGTAAGGTTTGGGGCATCCACCTTCCTATGTAATCACTAATCGGCATAGAGAAATCTAAGGGTGCGTTTGTTTTATTATTCCCAAAATACATGTTTGTTTAATTATTTTGAAAATACTATTCTATTTTTTAATTACTTTTAGACTCCTTAAGTTTATTAATTTAATAAACACCCCTGGAAAAAAAGTTTAAAAATTAACAAAAACGCCCCCACCCCCCATAGTTGCCAGATTCTGACAACCACCGTCGGCGATTGCCAGAATCTATCACAACGACTTAAAAACGACCGGAATTGGCCAGTAATTCACCGATCTAGCCTTTTCTAGTAAGATCCACAATGGACCTGGCCAGAAAAAGTCAGATCTGACGGCCAAAGAAATAGTTGTCGTTGACCGATAACGACGGCCATATTTTTGGCCATCGCTGATGGCCAAATCTGGCCTTTTACGACCGTCAACGACCAAATCTAGCCGTAGATCTAGTCTTTTTCGGCCAGATTCATGGTGGATCTGGCTGGAAAAGGCCATATTGATGCACGAACGGTCTGCATCGTAACGCCATTTTCCGGCCAGAATCTGGCACTGTCGGTGGGTGGGGGTGTTTTTGTCATTTTACAAAAAATTTATATATTAGAATGTTTAGTTAGCAAAGCTAAGGGGTTTTTTTGTTAATTTTTAAATTTTACCTCGTAATACTCACCCTATTCAACTACCCAATATTATCCCCAAAATCCTATCCAAAATAACAAAATAAACACACCCTAGAATATCACTGAGATACCATGCTATCACAAACCAATATATCATGTTACTTATAAATTTCTTTTCGTCAATCTGTGCAACTATACAATATTTATTATGGCTACATTTGGTACACTTTTTTTATTTGGATTTATAAAATCCTATTTTGAATACATTTTAGAATATGATTCTAAAAATTTGTTTGGTACATTATTGGAAAATATTTTCTGAAAATATTTATATTACTTTTTAACTCTTACATTTGTTAATTTAGCTAAACACCCCCCCACAATAAACGTTTATAAATTAAAAAAACACCCCAATCGACCTAATCGACTTCCGACAACCAGCCACCATTGCTAGACAGTGGATGTTAGTCATCTGAAATAGCACACGATCGGTTGGATCTGGCCGGTCATGCACCAATCTTACATTTTTTGACCAGATCCACAGTGTATATGGTCAGAAAAGGCCAAATCTATTGCCAAAATTAGGCCATCAACGACAGCCAAGATATAGTTGTCGTCAACGGCTAGATCTCTAACTGTAGATCTGGTTGTTTTTGACCAAATCACTGTGGATCTAACTGAAAAAGGCAAGATCAGCGCATGACTGGTTAGATCCAACCAATCATGCATCGTTTCGGTGCCAGCAATGGCAATGGCGGCATTGGCTTCCAGCGGGTGATAATGGCTTTGGTGGGTGGGGTGTTTTTGTTAATTTATAAACTTTTATTGTGAAAGGTAATTGTTAAATATTTTGAGTTGAATAGAATATGATTGGATTTTAAATTGAATAGTTAATATTAAAACAAACGCATTATTCACTAGATTGGATAGGATAGTAGAATAGAATAGAATAGAATATGAAAAATGTACCAAACCCAGTCATATAAGTTTTGTGATACTATTGACTTGATAGTTAATATTCTCATCATTGAAAATGTTGTACTTTTAAACACAAAATTGCTTCAAGAATCGCGAACATTGCATTTTGAAATACGATTCTCAATACAAAATAATTTTCCGGTATAAGGTTTTTGTACGCTCATCGACATCTTATTGTGTCGATAAATGAACGAAACTCCGACCATAATTGGTGGCATCAAAAATTGCATCGAGGGAGAGCAATTAACACTTTTTTTTTTTTTTTTTACTTTTTAGTAACTTATGATACTCTATCTAAATACTGTACATAGAGAGAAAGACTTAATCCACCTTGACCTTTTGGACCAAAAGGTCAAGGAATCACGACCTTTCAAACACTAAAAAATACCCTTCTCAAACTAACAAATGTCAATCAAAGTCTAACTTTGTAACAATATTTTTCCACCCAGAAATAAGTGAATTACCTGTTTTACCCTTACACGGGTTAACGTCTATTAGAATCAGAAAAATCTATCCTAATATTTTAAACTGTAGGATATAGACCATACTAGACCCGAACCCTAGTGGCATAATGTAATTATCTTAATAAACACATATATTATATAATAATATGCAATAGTAAAATAATAATACTAGAAACATAATATGCTCCTAAATTGAAATGTAAACAATAGGAAGCAAAACCGCGTAATTGAACATGAGCCCATGGGTCCAAATGTTCCAATTTCAAGGTCCAAGTGGAGCACCACTTTTAATTAAATATTTCTTCTTTAGTCGATTTGTTTATAAGTCATTCTATCGTACAGGAGTAGTTACATAATTACAATGAGAGAACAATTTTTTTTTTCTTTTTTTTTCTGATGATACATCGTATATATATTTATTTTGCGTTTATTTACCTATTCGTATTTACGATGAATAAGTTTTGAAATAAATACCCATATAATATAATTTTATTGGATTGTCTAAGGATAATGTGATACGTCAAAATGACATAAGCATGACTTGTCCATTAGTCATTACTTAAATGTAGAGATGACAATGGGTCGTGTCTAAAAATTCAAGGTTCATCGTGCCGTGCTAAAGCCCACAAAAATTTATGCTTTATCGTGTTATGCCGAAATTTGAAGGCACAAGGCACGACCCGTTATATATTGTGTCATGCCTTGGGCCATGTCGTGGGCTATGTCATGGACCAATCCACGTACTTTGTAAAAATATTTAATTTTAATATCTATAAAATATGGTAATTTTGATTATTATAAAAATATTTTATATGTTATATTCAGTGACATTTTGTATTTATATTAATTAAAAATATATATAATCACTATAAAATATAATAAAATAATGAGATATTGAAATATTAATTAAATTTCAATACTTTTTATTACTTATAAGTTATAATTATAAATTACAAATACAAACTTAAAAATTAGAATTAAGAATTTTTATACATCTTTATTTTCATTAATTTCTAAATTCTTATAATTTGATTTTTTTTTCAATTTTTATTTTTTTCATGTCATGTCGTGTCGGCTCATGCGCCTTTTTTAAGGCCCACGAAACGGCTCGCATATTTTCATGCTGTGCTTTTTTCGTGCTATGTCGTGCCATGTCTTGGGCCGGCACGGCCTACCGTTGGCTTGGCTCAAATATGTCTTTTTAATATTAGTTTATTAGTAAAAACTTGTCTAATAATTTTGCTTGAAATTCTGCTATATACTTTCTTTTTTGAAAAAAAAAAAATACATTCGCGAAGAAATTATCACTTTAATAATTATTATTTGTATGCTATTAATTGATATGATAATATTATCGAATAAATTATCAGAATAATAATACCTTTCTCAACATGAAATGTGATTATGATTGTGGGAACGTTCACTGAAACCACATACAAATGAACAATAATAGAAAACCGGTTAGATTAAATCTAAAGCAGAAGTTAAGATCTATACAGTCAAATAATTGATAAATTAATAATAAGCCTTTTGAGGAAGAATAATTAAATAATTTTAATAAATCAATTATTAATATAACATGTGCGGGTCCCTATATATAAGATATGTCCCATAATATTTTGTAGTCAACAAGGGACACCATTTTTATAGATAAAATTAAATAATATAATAATAATAATAGGGTATAAAAAGAGATGAAATACAAATGCATTAAGAAAATAATAATAATAAGACTCATGTTATTGTATTTTTTTCCATTAATATAATGAACTCTCATATATAAACCAAGATTCACTTCTTGAAATCTTGATGTATATGATGAACTTGAATCGTCTAACATTGATCATGATCTTCCTGCTAATAAATATAAAATATTACATATGTAAAAAGCTCTGAATCCATGGAGTGATCGATCAACAGTTTACATATATATATATATATATATGTTTGGTGTTTCTGTATTTACAAGTAAAACTCTTCAACAAAACCTACCTGTTGTGCAGAGGATCGGGGCAAGAGGGCACTTCTCGATTGATGGTAGCAACAAAACTTGAATCATCGTCATCTACAGTATTGTTTTTACTTGAAGAAGAAGTACTTTTGTCCCAAATCTGAGGCTTATTCTTCTGTGTGTCTGCAGCTTGTAGATATCTCCCTGCCAGGGCTTCATGTCCCAGAAATGACATGCTTAATAAGAAGAGCAGAAGAAGAGTGAACTGAACTTGATTCCTTGACCTCAACATGGCTTCTTTGGTACTCTAGGAAACACTTTCAAGAACCACTTTTAAGAAGCACTTCTATTGAAAAGGATGAGAAAAGAAGAGAGAGAGAGAGAGAGAGAGAGAGAGCTTGGACTTGTTGTGTAAGACTGTAAGTTAGTGGTGAATTTAAAGAGAAAGACAGAAAAACGTTAGTCAAACCTATGTTATTGGATATTATAAAGTTTTTATTTTATAGATTTCAAAGAGTTTGAAGATTAAATATGAAATGTGTTACATCATTCACACTCAAAATTACCAAAATACCCCTAAGGTTTTGAAAATAACAGAAATCGCTTAACGGTTAAGTTTTAGCTATTAAGAGGGCAATTTGATGGTAGTAAATTTTAATGGTAGGGAAAT